TGCTTGAGCGCTTGATGCTGTTGATGGTGCGGATACTGACAGTCTGGTCCCGAGCCTCCACAAGGTTGCTGGGGACATCCCACCCCGAATTCCAGCTGGATGATATGCTTTTAATCCATAGGTGGACGGAAATGATATTAATAACATGTAGCTACAAATAAATCATGCCTATGTAGCATTACACCATCCACATAGGTGCTAGAAATCATAACCAGTCACCATTGGGGGATTCGATTTCACTATCATAGCAATGGTACACTCGGCACACTCGGCACACTCGGCAGACTCGGCACACTCGGCACACTCGGCACACTCGGCACACTCGGCACACTCGGCACACTACGCACTCGGCACACTACGCACTCGGCACACTACGCACTCGGCACACTCGGCACACTCGGCACACTCGGCACACTCGGCAACCTCGGCACACTCGGCACACTCGGCACACTCGGCATACTCGGCACACTCGGCACACTCGGCACACTCGGCACACTCGGCACACTCGGCACACTCGGCCATGCGCGCCAAGCGTCCCAAGCGCGCCAAGCGACCCAAGCAACCCAAGCGACCCAAGCGCGCCAAGCGCGCCAAGCGACCCAAGCGCGCCAAGCGCGCCAAGCGCCAAGCGCGCCAAGCGCGCCAAGCGCGCCAAGCGACCCAAGTGCGCCAGGGACACTTGCACCAAGACCGCCCCACATCACTTTGCCAGACCAAGCGATCCAAGCGCGCCAAGCGCGCCAGGGACACTTGCCCGAATACCGGCCCAGATTCCCATTACTCTCTAATGGGACATAACCAATACTAGTGGAATAATAGTGATCATAATTAATGTAATGGATATTACTAGTATTGGTGACTGGATACTTACTAATAGTATCATAATATACTAGGTAATTAATTACTCATAGTATCAGTGGACCAGTGGAATAATACGTATATAAATGGATATAATTGATGTAATGTACTCTGCGGTAATCAAACGAAGTCATGAAAAATCCCCGAAGCAAATGGTGGATTTTCCGGCAAGCCATCCCACATAAAACTGGTCAAAGGCTGGTCAATGGTGGATTTTCCGGTAATCCCACAATGAATTGGTAAGGTGACAAGAAAGGATTCCAGTTACCCTCTGGTAATTTGTTAACAGTTTGCTATTGGAAAATGGCAGTTTATAGTGGATTTTCCCATTAAACATGGTGGATCTTTCGATGGTTTTTTGTATGTTTACCAGAGGGTACAGAAAATTGAAGGAGTCTTGGTACTTTGGATTGCCGATGATTGTGGCTGGCCTTTTGTGTGACTTTCATGGGCACAACCACGGGACAACCTCCACCTGGCCACCTGGATGGCGGCAGGCTCTAAGAGGTCAGTCGCTGTTACTTAGAGGATCATCCCACTTACCCTCTGGTAAACATACAAAAAACTATGGAAAATCACCATTTTTAATAGGAAAATCCACTATAAACTGCAATTTTTCAATAGCTATGTTAAATTACCACAGGGTATATAGTAGGTGGTGAGTAACAATAGTGATAACCCATCTATATATGGGAGAAGCCGTGAACGGAGGGAGCTGTTCGGAGATTCAGAGCGCTCGGGCTTTTTGTTTATTTTCCAACGAAAACGGGTGAGCCAAATGGAGCAATCAGAGTTTTCAAACCACATGATAGTGGTTCCAAGAATTACTTCACTTCGATTGATCTCCAGCCTGACATGATTTTGTCATAGTTTCCGACATCTTATCTGGAAGATTCTGGAAGTATACATGGCATATATATTTTCTGATATTCTATTCTGGCTTGCTATTCTGGCATCCTTTCTGGCATCTATTCTGACATTCTCTCTGACATGGGCACTGAAATCAGGAGCTCGCAGGACGAGGAGGAGGAAGTAACTCTGATAAAATCTAGAGACCCTCACCCTGGCAGGTGGGAAATAAGTTGTTACAGTTGTTACCATTTTTAGGGTTGAACCCCGCATGTTTAAACACATTAATTACTTGGCGCAGTGGAACCCTAATCCCAACTTATGTGGATTAGAATCCCACAGCACCCATAGTTATGCCCACTAGTTGTCACTAATCATCATCAATAACCACTAGTAACCATATTATTAACCCATATTGATACCAGTTTTATGAACCCCAGTCCTGCCCCAAGTCTACATCCCCTGGTTGCGAGTCGGGTTTCATCTTTCCAGGGCATCTCGCTCACAACACACCTCTATGGTGCCTCGGCGCGGCCTTTGTAAAAACCCCGCAATTTTTTGTGCAGGTTTCGGCGGCGCATGTTGAAGCAACAACATGTTGAAGCAACCCCAAAATGGGATACCCTCTGGTAATTTAACGTAGCTATTGAACATGGCCATTAATAGTGGATGTTCCCATTAAAAATGGTGATCTTCCATAGCTATGTTAGTTTACCAGAGGGTACCCCAACGGCTGGATGGTTTAAACATATTTATTCAATGGGAGATCTTCAGGATCCAACAGATGGAGCTACGTAAACGTATATTCTTGGCCATATGAATTGTGGGGATATTCCCTTACATGGCCATGCCAGGGATCATTGCACATCATCCCAGAGATTTCCTAAGTCAAAGGGGTACCCCAAATAATATAAAGGGTATATAAATCCCCATGAATGGGGTGATGACCATCCCCAATAATATACAGTTCAATAATATAATGATCATCCAGATAGGGTTTTTTAGATTGGGGTTTGCCATGGAAAAACATCCATTTTATAGGAGCCCCTAGGTTTCCACCTCCGGGAATATCAGGATGCTTCACTATGGGATTTGCCACAATGGGTTTCTGCAGCGAAAAGACGGTTTCAACCAACAAACATAGGGCTGTGAAAAATTGGGTATATCAGCAGTAAAACAGGTTGTACTGTAAAGACTGTAGTTGGTTGCACATGTTTTTCATGTCCCAACTTACCTGTGAACAAGTCTCTGGTTGGTGGTGACTGGAACATGACTATTATTTTTTTCCATTCAGTTGGGAATTTCATCATCCCAACTGACTTTAAGTCCATCATTTTTCAGAGGGGTAGGTGGCTCAACCAGCAACAAGGTCGATTCATCGAGTCATATTCGAACACATAAAGATTTGATCGCCATCCAGGATGGCACGGCTGTTGATGTTGGTGCAAAATTGCTTGCCATCAGGGGAATGGCCAACATTCCAATGGGAATGGTTTGTTGATGTTGGCTAGCATATTATCCCTTTGATAATTCCTGGAATGCGAATCATGGGAATGCTACAAACTATCAAGCTATCAAGCGGCTGTCCATGGTATGTGAATGGCCGAATGGCCGCGGGACCATTGTTAAATAACTATCACTGAGCGAGGTTGGATTCAAAGCAATCATCACTGATGGCGGTCAACATGTAACGTTTCAAATACCTCCTGAGAAGCCATTAGCATCCATTTACAGATGTTGCTCCTTTTAAGAATGGTATGTCTTAAAATGTGCATAACATGGGTGCCCATCTTCCCTTTTTGCACACACCCTGGGATTTTGCATTGATCTACCAAACTTTAGGCCTCAACCATTCAACTAATGGGGCTTTTTTTCCTAAGCTCCACTCTATTTTGGCCATTGAATCATACAGATTTGGGTATGGATCAATACCTATTAATACCATTTTTAGTGGGATGAACATCCATAAATCCCAGCTATTTTGATGTTCACTAGGGGTACCAGGTTTTGACACACTGCCATTTGGGTTCCCCAACTGGAGAAAACTGAGTAATTCGGAGATGAGCAGGCTGCCAGCAGCCGTGATTTTCTCTCAGACTGATACCTTTACGGCAATGAATATGACAATAGAAAATCCACCAGTTATAGATGATGTTCCCATTCAATGCCTTCCATAAAAATATCCATTAATATGATTTTTGATGGCAAAACGTTTGCCAGTGAGTTTGATAGGTGAATCTAGCATCACCATGGAGTGGATGCTTTTTTGGGCCGAAAAAAAGGGCTCTGTGGTTCTGTGTGAACAGCAAAATACCCTCTGGTAAACATACAAAAATCGATGGAAAATCACCATTTTTAATGCGTAAATCAACTATAAATGGCAATTTTCAATAGCTACATTAAATTACCAGAGGGTAGTTGGGATGCAGCTTTATCCTCCCAAAGATGGTTCCACATATGCTGGCGAAAAAACCCGTGTGGAATTTCCCAACAGTATCCGTGGTCCACTGGGGAACTAAACTTAAATGATCTTAAATGCACAATTGAACCAACAGGAGCATGCATTGTACTCAGTACTGTAATTTTGCACATCAGCACATTCCAGTTAAATTGGATACCTGGATATACATCAAGTAATAGTCAGATGAAAGAACTATATAATCATGGCCATAATCTCAGCCAAAATACTATTACTAGATGACAAAAACTACATTAGATCGTGTCAAATATGTTGGCTCTCATTTATCATTCAGTATATCTGACCCTCATCATCCACACACATCCGGGTCTACATGGTTATTTATATACACATATATAATCATATATATATATACAGCAACCCCAAAAAAGATAGACACGTGTTTCGAGGATGGTAGTTTCATAATATTGACTTCATATTTTCAGACTACTTGTCTATCTAGTTTGGGCTTGCAAAATCTCCTTGCATATCCATACATATCCATACCTATCCATATCCCTATATATATATATATATATTGTATATGTATATTATTCATACATGAATAATCATAAATACATATAACAATATATTCAGTATGTGTATATAACAATTAATTATATTTTAGATTTGTGATATATATATATCATACAACATATTTATATAACTATATACTATTATACATTATATATATTTCATACAATATATATATATATATATATTATATATACAATTTTTATATTATATATAGATATTATATACAATATATATATACATATACATATACATATCAGGCAGTTCAAAAAGTTAACTCCACCCTTCCAGCCGTCCCACCATGCCGCCGACGCTGACGCCACTGGGCTCGCGCATCGCCGGCGCCGTGCTGGGCGCACTGCTGGACCCGGCGGTGCCAGGGGTGTGCAAGGGGGAAAGCATTGGAAAACCATAGGAAAACCATAGGAAAATGGTGATTTACATAATGAAACCATAGTAAAACCATAGGAAAACCATAGGAAAATTGTGATTTACATAATAAAATCATAGTAAAACCATAGGAAAACTATAGGAAAATGGTGATTTACACAAGAAACATGAGATTTATATGGGATTTATATGAATTTATAGATGATTTATGATAGCTAAGTTGATGCAGATAACTCGGCGAATTCGATGGTTTATGGATATAAGTATTCATGGGGTGAAACGTGAAACTAACTTATAACTAGATTGGTGGATGAATAGCCAACCAATAACTGAAAAGTTGGGGATGTATTTAGCCATTTTTGATGGGGATCGAACAGAATTTGTGATATATCCACATATTTATATACGTATTATTAGCGCTTTAATGGTGGTAAATAGCCAGATACTGTGGTAACGATATGGGATAATACACTGTAAAATGATTTGGGATATAATATCGCTCCATCTATGTGATTAAGCTATGATTTTTTGCGGTACCCAAACATAGCTTTTCTACTTGAGATTTGTGTCAAATGGACCACGGGGACCACAGATTCGGGATGTCTATGTTGTTTAGTATAAAAACCATCGATTTTTGGTAACCAATTTTGACCACCCGCAATTGACGTGTGTTTCTTTAAAATACATTTTCAATCTTTGTAGACGGGTTTTTGTATCAGTTTCTGGCTACATCTACTGATCTCAGAGATAGGTTACCAGGTTCTCTGAGATTTTTTTCGCGTTTCCATGGGGATACAGTCGGGGGATTCTAATCTCCATAAGTTGAGATATGGTGAAATATCCTTACTGGTGCGTTTTACGTAGGGAATGGATGGGACTGGGGGTTGCTGGGATGATTTTTTTTTTATTAGTGATGAAATGGATCATTCCCGAAAATTCCCTGCGTAAAACGCACCAGTAAGTATCAGCCACAGCAAAAACATGATTCCACTGCACGTCCGGCTGTCGCTTTCCGGACAGCCCTCTGAAAGCTGTTGCTATTGGAGGTCTTTCGAGCGACGCAGCGTGCCGCTTCAAGTTTTGACGGCTTCGCCAGTGAGCATAGTCAATACAATTTGACTCTTGCTGAGAACTTCATCTACAAGGTGAGACCCCCTATAGCCAAGTTGATGCAGATAACTCGGCTCGGCGAATTCTATGGTGAAGTAAATGGCTAAAATTCATGGTTCGTGTCCAGTAATAGTGATTAATGATGGTATCATGGAGATGTTTCATGGCTTTAACCAACTATAATTGACTAGAATGGGTTAACATAATAATTAATTACAGGGAATAAATTCTATAGTTGATTGCTGATAAAATGTGAATTATACCGTGAACAAACCCATGGATGATGTAATCCCTAGGTGATGGCCCCTAAGCTAAGTATGATTTACGGGGATAGAACGGTCGTTAATGGCTTAGTGACGCTGCAAGTTTACCTCCAAAGCCTGTGGTAATATGGACATGTCATCATCTTGAATTGCAAACCATCTATAAATGGGCAATCTTCCATAGCTATGTCTAATTATCAGAGGGTAATCAACTATAGGGGTGGAAAGTCTAACTATACATTGACTATACAGTACATATAGTGTTGTATCCTGGTCTAATGGCTAGTTCGGCTCGTTGATGGAGATGTCTGAATGTGTTTTTTCTTGCCATTTTGGCAAGCATGATCCACTCAGTCACTCTAACGGTTCAGCACCTGTTTTGTCAAAACCCATTTTTTCATCCTTTCATATTGCCGAAATCCCAATTTGTTTGTTTCTGAAACAATGGATCGTTGCGAAGAGATCTGTGGTTGTCTCAAGAATTCCGTACACAAAAAACTTCATGGTGTTTCATCATTAAAACATCTTGAAGATCCTATGTTTTGTCATCATCACCATTCTTAAATGGCTTTGTTTGAAAATTAGGTACCCCCAAAAAACTTGATGATCATAACTATACCCATCAAACCTGACCATCTGTATACCCGGAGCTCCGAGGATGGGCTTGGAATACTTGGCTTCCAGAAGCTCCTGGGAAGCCTCCTCTCCGATGAATCTGGAAAGCTACATCCCATACTGGAAGATACGCAGCTGGCTTGAAGATAGGAGATTCCTGCCATGACGGTTTTTGATGGTTTATGATGGTTTATGAAGAATTATCATGGTTTATGAAGAATTATGATGGTTTATGAAAAATTATGATGGTTTATGATGGCTTATCATGGTTCATGGGTCTCAAGATCTCTTTTTACAACACCCAAAATCCTGTAAATCCTTGGCTTTTAGCTCCGAAATCGAGAAATTGAAACCATGAGTTTTCACATTCAATACTTCTCCTTGATATGGGGGTTTCCATAAATGGTGGATGGTTTATCATGGAAAATCCCACAAGATGGATGAGAACTGGGGTACCCCCATGACTTCGGAAACCTCCACTTAGTGTCGTATCATCCTTGATCTTGGTGATATGATGGGGAAAAACTTGGGATTATCATGGGGATATCATGGGGTTATCTCCTTGATATTTGGATGTGGGTCAAAATGGAAGACCTAGGGGACCACTTTTTTCTTAGTCTAGTTTAGTATTAACCATCCATAATTTTGGGGTACCTAATTTTGACCCATACCCATTTGGAAAAAATCGTTCCCCACCTGGGTTGAAACCACAGGAACTCTGGCAGCGGGCGGAGGCGCTGCAGATGCTGATCGCCAGGTTTTGGCCCAGCTGAATGCCTCGGAGATGTCGTACGAAGTGGTGGGGGTTTATTCCAAGGCCCGGCGATAACTGGGAAACCTAGGGAAATGATGGGAAAACTGGTGGAAAACTAGGAAAACCTAGGAAAATGATGGGAAAAACGAAGAAAATGATGGGTAGCCTCTGGTAAACATACAAAAAACTATGGAAAATCACCATGTTTAATGGGTAAATCTACTATTTCTATGGCCATGTTCAATATCTATGTCAAATTACCAGAGGGTACCACAAGGCGGGGTTCCCATTTTGGATAATCCGAAGTTGAGGCACGCCTGTGAACTCTATGGTCGACTAGGGGGAGAATTTTTGACGAACTAGTGGGGTTAATAAACCCAATTACAACTGGGCATCATATGTTTGATAATTATATAATTGCATACTGGCTGGTGGTTTGGAACATTTTTATTTTCCCATATATTGGGAATAATAATCCCAACTGACTAATATTTTTCAGGGGGGTTGAAACCACCAACCAGATACTGTGTGTATATACGTATATATATATATATGTGTATATATATATATAGCAACCGAAGAAAAAGATGACAACAAAAACCTTGGAAGCCTGGGAAATCATGGAGATAACATCATCTAATTTGATATTGGCTGGAAAATATGGTAGCCTATCAACATTCACCAGAATTTCACCATGGTAGCTTCATGGTCTTTTTATGTGTTTTCCATGTTTTGAAACCATGGTTTTCCCATGTGGTTTCCATCGACTCGGCTGATTATACCCTAAGTCTTTGGTTCACAGCGTCAAGCCTGGATAAAAAAATAAAGCCTTACCCTGACGATTTTCATTGGAGGGGTTAGCCCCTAAAATGATATGGGTTTGTCTGAAAATAGGGTATATTCCCAATTATAGCCATTTAATAGGGATAATGATCATTAACCATTGGGTTTAGGGGTACACTATTTTCAGACAAACCCATATAAATTGTTACTATTATTGGCACCCAATCAGTATTCTGGTTTGTTTGCTTTGACTCAACAGATCATCCAAGTACTCGTACCATCTCATACCAACACCCACAATAATTTCAGCAATACCCCCAGTGGAGCTGCTACATGCTGGAACTGTCCCCAATATTGATCAATATTGTTGGTTAGTGATCCACAATGTCAACCCCGGATGAAATCTGTTGCATCCATCGATATTGGTATGGCTCAGACATAGAGCTAGACATATGGATATAAGAGAAACCACAATACAAATACATTTGTCAAAATGAAACAAAATCATTTTGAGATAGACAAGTCCTGCAGAATAGCCACTTCTGTGGGTCCATTCGTGCTCCATTTTGGGTCAACACTGCCCATTTGGCTTTGTCTGAAAATAGTATACCCCAAAAATGCGACTGCGATGGTTTTCATGATGTTCCGTAATTAAATTACCATTTGGAGGCGAAATGAGGTATACACCTTTTTCAGACGCACCCATGTCTTATCATGTTGGTTATGTATGTGTGTATATATATATAATGTCATATCCCCATAGCCCCAGTATATCCCAATATATAGCATGGTTGATTAAACCGCCATGTGAATATCCACAGGTTTTTTTGGTGAGGCCGTGATGTTGCGTCATGCAGCAGCCTATGGTGTCTTCGATGATGAAGAAACTCTTCTTCAAGCTGTGAGCGCCATGATGTTCATGTACCGAAACGACAGTTTGGAGGCCCAAATCGACACGTCTGGAAATCTCATGCAGCAACAAAGATCCAATACCATCTGGTCGAGTAACATAGCGAAGTGGGAATTCACCATGTTTATACTATGTAGATCAACTATAAATGATTATTAAATGACAATTTTCGATAGCTATATTAAATTACCAGAGGGTAAACTTTGAATAGTTTTCAGCAGAATATGGCCTCAAAATGAAACCTGGGCAAAGCATTTTTTTCCGACCTCTTCAATAAAGCAAAGGTAGGCAAGACTACACCAGCAGGACTAAAGAGATCATGACATGGTTAGGTTCTCCTCTCTACCTCCAGATATCTCCAGATTCCAGGGAAGATCTTTTCGTTTGCCAATCACTTTGACATGAGGCACCAACCAAGTGTTGGTGGTTGTGCCAATGAACCTAGCTTCATTGGCACCATTGGCATGTCTTATTCCTGATCAGACCCGGATCACCCTTGTGATTGGCACGGATCATCCTGAATTCCGGAAGAGCAAAAGTCCCATTTGTTGCTGATAACAGCGATCCAATTTATGAACACTTAAGTTGTTGCAGGGTCAACCCTTAAATGGAGCATGTAACGGATTTTGTTGTGGGGAAAACACCACTTATCAAAACATAGTGAGTAAATTCTATAGAATATAATATACATATTATATATAGTTTCATCTATATTTCTCCATTTTGAAATGATGTGTTCCTCCATTTTGTGGGGGACTTAGTTAGATCCCGGGGAAGCTGCCCCGTTGCGAAATCGCCGAACGCCAGGCTTTGAGCTCCGCCGATTTCATCGCCCGCGTCGCCTTTCGGCTGGTGCACAGCGAAAAAACCACGCCGCGAAGGCTGCTGGAGGAAGTCCCAAAAGCGCAGTGGCTACAGCGGAAGTTGGAGGAGGCGGGAGCTATGAACAAAATAATTACTGTACCCTCTGGTAAACATACAAAAAGCTATGGAAAATCACCATTTTTAATGGGAAAATCTATACTATTAATGGCCATTTTCAATGGCTACGTTAAATTACTAGAGGGTACCATATGTTTTGGCCATATTTTTTGGGGGATATTCCCTTACATAGCCCTAAACAATAGCCCTAAACAATAGGCATACATACCCTCTGGTAAACATAGAAAAAATTATGGAAAAAAACACCATATGTTTAATGGGTAAATCCACTATTTCTAATCTATGGCCATGTTCAATAGCTTTTTGAATGTTTCCCAGGCCGGGTATATCCCATTAATATCCCATTAAATCCCATTAGATCGGTTATAAGCCACTTTTTTTCGGTGAAAAAAAGCCGGCCGTTGTGAAAATTGACTCAGTTTTATGGGATGGTGAACCTGGTGAGCCATGAGCCTAGGGTTATCAACCAAGGAGGCCGGCTTGAAAAAACCAAGGTGATCAAATGGTAAACATAGAACAAGCTATTGAAAATGCAGATAGAAATAGTAGATTTACCCATTAAACATATGGTGATTTTCCATCGGTTTTTGTATGTTTACCAGAGGGTATCAAATGGTTTGATGGGATTTGATATGGAATGTAATTCATTAACCATGAATTGAAGAGGTTTTTTCAGGGGGGTTGAATATCAAAGATCTGGAATCGAGAAATGATGGAGACCTCTAGAGAATGTGTTCATGTGTTCTTTTCTAAGATAGAATCGGTAGTCATGGTTGGTTGATTGCTTCTTATACGGGGATGAACCACCAAATGGAAAGGATATACCCGCCAAATATCGGATATATCGGATTAAAACACAGTAAACAGAAGGGCTAGGATTTGATGACGAATTATGGGATTAAGTGTTTTTTTTTTCGGATATAACCAACAGGTTTTTCAATCTGGTTCATTCGCACACACAAGTCCCATTGGAAATGGACGTGTTTGCTTGGTGGATAGTTGTGGATAGTTATGGCAGATATACCCTTGCAAAGTTGGAATTTACAATCTGGTTGGTGGTTTGGAACTATTGGGATTATTTTTCCATATATTGGGAATAATCATCCCAACTGACTTTCATATTTTTCAGATGGGTTGAAACCACCAACCAGCAATGATTTTCCATAGCATGGAGACCTACCCCTCGTTTGGAAAATGAGCTTGTCCAAACCTGGGATAATAAAAAGCCAAGGCGTTAGCTTTTTAAAATGCGCTTTAGACATGCTTCAACCAATCCTTTGATGGGGGGATATACAGATATACATCAGATTTTCGGCTTGTCTAAAATAATGATCTCACCAGGATTTTTAGCATAAAGATGGTATTTATAAAATTCATGGTATATTTTAGCACCTTTGATGGGGGTTTCAGATCTCAACTGAATTTCATGTTTTTTTTAGCACCAGGAAACCGAGGACCCTTGGTGACCCTTGGTGACCCTTGGTGACCCTTGGTTTCTCGGTTTACCTCTGAAAGGTCAAGGAGAAGGTGAAAGAGGCCATGGACGTGAAGAGCCAACTTTTTCAGCAGGACGATGTCGATGTCGATCCTGCTGGCGAGAGTTCTCCCATTTTTTTCTGTAGACTCTGGTGATTTTTTGACTTTTGCTATGGAAAGTGGTTCATTTCAGTATTTGCCTATGAAGAATGGTGAGTTTCCATAGCTCTGTGAAATCAGCCCTTTCTTATTACCTTATAGGATAGTAAAAATTGGTACACGGTACACCTGCCTTTATTTTGGCATTTCCTGAGTTGAGCAGGAGTGGTTTCTCCAATAGCTTGTTGCTTGGTACACACGGCAAGCTGGAAAATCCCCGACATAAATGGAGGTTTTTTTAATGGGAAAATCATCGATCTATTCACCCAGGATTTTTCGCCATGTTTTTTGGATTGGTAAATCATTCAAATCTTTTTTTTCTTGACATGTTTCATCATTGTGAACCAAATATTTATTTGGTGAGTCACATTCCCGGAATACCCATCTTATCCCATAGGATTCGGTCGATGACTACGCCCTGAGATCCATGGGTCGTGTCTGGCAGAAGGCTGACAGCCTGCGGCGACTGGGTAGTTGGGCCTCGGAGGTTTTGCCCAACAGCGACTTGGCACCGAAATCATCGGTCTCTCACCGCCGTTGAAAATCGAAATTATATATCTATATATATAATTTATAGAGTCATCCTGGAGTTAATGTCAAGAGATCCGTACTTAAATGGAAACATGTTGAAAATTGAAATGGTGATGGGTCAAAAGTCTCCATCCCAAATGGTACACATAGCATGTCATAGCTGGTATTGGATGGTGAGTCCCCCAGTCCATTCATAGGTTTTGACCCATCCCCAAATGTTTTTGGTTTGACTATCAATGGAAAAGGTTGAGACATGGTTGAGACCAACGGTTGAAACATATTTAAACAAAAGCCTTCTTTTGGCGGCATTTTTTCAGAATTTAAGCACCAAATTTCTGCGTGGTTTGTAATGGACAATTTCAGCATTGTGACTGAAGGGTTCCAACATCGTTTCCCATGTTGGCAGGCTTAAGCATCACTCGAAATAGTAACCCGGGCACAAGCTGGGGACGATATAAACTATATATGTAACCCGTATTATTCTTGGGACAAGTTGGATTAGTCACTATATATCAACAGGCTATATTTCTTGGTTATAATGATTTTGGCTTACTAGGTGAGGTGAAACACTAAGTAGCTAGCAATCTGGTTTGTTTTTGCTGCTTTCATAGATTTTTGTTGTTAAGTTTCAACCCAAAACGTGGGATGATAATCTGCGGTGAATAGTCCTGGGATAGCCAAGCACAAAGCAACAATGGTGCGGGGATGACTGGGGGCAGGGGACATCTTGATGTGTGGCATGTTGCTCTCTTGTTGGCCCATTTCGACCCAGACATCTGTTTTGGAACAAGAGAATGAGGATGCTTTCCCACAGCAGATTGCAGGAGCATATAGGAGCATTCAGCACTCTTTTTATACAGATCATATCGAGAAATTAATGATGAAACCCGGAGGTTGAAGCAACAAATGTTGCGAATTGAAGTGATAAGACATTGTGTTGTTTGTTTTTTAAATAAACACACGGTTTTCGAGTGGCAGTGGAAACCACTGTTCCGCGATCACAACACCAAGGCCTTTACTTCATCTTGAAATACGAGCACGACTTGATGGCTGCCCTAGAAGCCAATGCAAAGGTTCATGGAGCTGGAAGCAGGGCAGTCACTCGAGCAAATGATGTCGACCAAGCACCACTGACCAATGGTTGAGCCAAGGGGGAACCAGTTGAATTCCACTGATTCGTTGGATGTTTGGACTCTCAAAAGACGCCAAAAGACGCCAAATGAAGAGACATGGGCACTGTTTTGGTGGTGGTCGTTGAGTTTTTTGCCCAAGGCAACTTTCAGCGGAAACTGAGGTCTTTTTATGTCTTTTTCTCGGGCTTTGGGGGTTCTGTTTCTTCATATGGACCCAAACTGCTTGGTGGTTTCAAACATGAATTTTATTCTCCATAATATATGGGATGTAATCCTTCCCATTGATTAATATGTTTCAAGATTGTTAAAACCACCAACCAGCAAGTCATTTGTGACAAAGATCTACGATTTCAAGAAGACAGGGATATGTTTTAGCAACATGAGAGAACCAAACATGGAGTTTGAAACCAAGAAACGAACACATAAAGAGAACTCTCCGAGATAACCCAGGCACCTCGAACAAAAGATAGAAACGTTCAAAGCCCAGGAGATTCTGCAGAAAACATCCCGGAAAAAACCTTTAGGTGTTTATACGTTGTTCGGCATGTCTGGTGTGTTTTGTTCATGTAGAGTCGAGGTTTCCTAAAATAGGGGTAGATGGGTTTTCATGGTTTTTCATTCTACGCATCCATTTTTTGGGGTACCCCCCAATTTTTGGAACCTCCAATGTGTTTTCCCTTTCCAATGGTCACCAGGTGGTGATCGGCCTGGTTCTTGGCGCCTTCCACGGCCACGGTGCCTTTGTTGACGTGACCGGTGCCAAGCGAGTGCTGCGGCTTCTGCGAAAGCTGCCGTTGCTGCGAGGAAAGCACGACGGGAAGCCTAGGCGAATTCTATGGTTGCGTAGGGGGGATATTTTTGTAGTTCCTAATGGCTGGGGCTACCCCCAAATCATCCATTGATAGATGGGATTTTCCATTATAAATCTATCTTAGGGTATACCCATTTATGGAAACCCCCATATAACCAATTATTGGAAACTACAGCGGGATTTATAAAATAATTATCGAAGGAAGTTTAGAAGTCAAACTTCCGACAATATGGACAGATGAAAAGCAGAGATGGGAAGAGTCAGAGAAGAGAAGAGAAGAGAAGAAGAAAGAAGATGAAAAAAGAGAAAGTCTCAGAAGAAAGAAGATACAGGTGCCCGAAAAGGTAGGAAAGCCGCCAAACACTGTGTTTCTACAATGATTTGTGGCTCCGGAGGATCGAAAAGTAGGCTCGCTAAAGCGGCGGGTACGGAGCCAGCTGGCCAGATGAGAGATGAAAAATTGCAGGCCGTTTTGGCGCGAAGCACATTTCCAAGTCAAAAGTGTAAAAAACTGACGGGTTCAGAGCACTTTTGGAAGTTGAGATGTTGAAAAAGTGCACGCAGTTGTGGCGCGAAGCACATTTCGAAGTCAAAATCTATAAAGCACCACATGTACGCGCCACTTTTGGACGTTGAATCGTCGTTTTGTGTGTCAGGCACAAGGGACTGCGCACATTGTCAAAAGTGAGCAAACGTGAAGGTTTTGTAGCATTTCCAGGCACAATGGCAGGCGTGGGGGATTTGAAGAGGATCTGCACAGATGCATATCGCGTGGCAGGCGCAGTACAAGAGACATCTTCATCAAAGATGTTGGGAGGTCAGGGCGCTGATTTCCTGAGAGGGGTTGCATTTTGGAGCATCAGATCTTCAGGTTTGCTAAGATGATTTTGCGTGACAGGCGCAGCCCTTCGTATGACCTGGCCTCACTTTTTCGAGGCAGGCGCCGTGCTTTAGACAGATGGAGTGGAAAAATCGCAAAACGCAATGGTGCGAGGCTGTCAGCTCTGCACTCAACTTTCCATTCTTGAAGGAAGTCTCGCAGAATTGTTTCGGTTTTAATGTTGTCAACTTCGAAAATTGAGGAAGTCTCGCAGAATTGTTTTGTTTTTGATGTTGTCAAGTTCAAAAACTGAGGAAGTCTCGCAGAATTGTTTCATTTTTGACGTTGCCAAGTTCAAAAATTGAGGAAGTCTCGCAGAATTGCTGCGTTTTCAAGCTTGCAGGTAGACAGACAGACAGACAGGCAGACAAACAGATAAATAGATAGACAGATAGATAGACAATTACAACTACAACAGCTACAACTACCACTTCACTACACTACACTCCTGCCACAACTACAAATATAAATCTACTACGCTACATTACACTACACTAATTACACTACACTACACTACACTACTTACATCTAATTACACTGCACTACACCAAATACACTAACAACTGCGGCAACAACTACTACCACAACTACAACTACAATTACAACTACGCTACACTGCACGAATTACACTTCAGCACACTACAACTACAAATCCAACTACAACTGCAACCACACTACATTACATAACACTACGCTACACTGATTACATTGCATTACATAACAACTACAGCTGCAACTGCAACTACCCCTGGATTACACTACACTACACTACACTACACTGCACTACACTACACTACACTACACACACTACCCTACGCTACGCTACGCTACGCTACACTACACTACACTACACTAGCTACACTGCACTACACTACAACTACAACTACATTACACTACACTAATTACACTGCACTACACTACAACTACAACTACACTACCTTACACTAGACTACACTACAGTATACCACACTACAATACACAACACTACACGACATTACGCTGCACTACACTACACTAATTACACCACACCACGACTACAACTGCAACCGCGCTTGCAAATACACTAATTACACTACATTACAGTTACAGCTCCACTTCGCTACACTACATTACAACTACAGCTGCAGCTGCAACTACAACTACAACTGCACTACACCACACTACATCCAGCAGTTGTGGTAAGGTGACCACTGCAAACATTGCAACCATTCCAAAAACACTACTCCAACCACCTGTCGGTCCATCAGTGGATTCGCTCTGCCATGCGTGATTCACAACAACCAACCTCCCCTATAGGTTTTCTGTTTTTGAATCTTCCGCCACCGCCTTGTGCAGTACTACTGTTAAATAACGCATATCCTTGTTTTGCTGACGATTATTATAATGAGATGGGAATCCCGATGCCAACCAGTACATGTTGGAGATGTTCCAATTCGATTTCTCAAGTAATTCCGATAATGATCTTGATCTGCTGGAGAATACTGGAGAGAACTTTTGATTTTACGAATTGGAAATCCAGTCCTTTGGAATCTATCTATCTATATATATATATAGAATATAGAAAATCTTTGTTACTTTTTTGGGGGGTCATAGACGTTCTGAGCAGAAAAGACACGTCTCTGTTGCAATCACTCCAGCAGTAGTGGATGTGCCCAGCTCCACAATCAAACCGCTCTTCCTAATGGTTGGGCCCAAATGTGATACCTTGTACAAGAAATTAAGTTAAGATATGGTCCATACCTAACAACGGTGTTTTGACCCATCATGTCCGTACTTAAACCATTGTTGGGGGGTACTTGGAGGGTCTAGGCATGTGTAGTGATCTGACTTTCATAGCCAGGTCCACATGGTCCGCCAGGTTGCTTCCTCCAAAGGGCTGCTTTGACAGTCTCTACACGGCATTTTCCTGCTGCGGTCCCCATGAACCACCGGGCATGACCTGTTGGATGACGGATTTGAAGGAAAACTGTTGTCATGGGATTGTCATGGCGTTGCGAAATATCTTGCTTCGGAGGCGGGGTATGGAAGTTTATCGCTATGGCGGTTCATAACTGATAAATGGTTAGTAAGGGATTAGCAAATGTTATGTAAATGTTTCGTACATGGGTAATGGTGTGTGGTTAGTAGATTTGGATACTTTTACTCTGATCCTGAATTATGATTGTTTAGCTGGCCGCAATGACTATTGGCAAAGCAAGAATAGAAAAGTTTTTGAAAGCTGGAAATTTGAGGTAAATATCATCGAACTACCATCCTGGAAACATGCGTTTTTTTTTTCAGGGATTAGTATACTAGCTTTAGGATTCCCAGTGCCATTTAAGTTTTATATCTGCTGAAAAGTGCATGAAGCCAACTAAACGAGACTTGGTTATGTTTTTCAAACGTTCATTGTTCATGGGACATAGCTATAGGGATAGGCCACAATCAGGGGATGGGAACGTGCTCGTTTTGCCCACGACTTGGAACAAGCGGAACATTTTGAGCTCAATCACTGGCGTTTACATGTGTTTACTACATGTACATAGATATAATTGAATATAATTTATATATATATATATGTAAATTAATGATATATATATATAGAAAAGATTTAATGATATATATATATGTACAATGTATCATATGTACTATGAAATCTCATGAAATATGACAGCTAACTTTGGGCTTTTAACCTGCTTATCAGCCAATCCAGCTATTTAATGGATTTGTTTGCTGATGTATTGATTTCTGGGGAAATCTGTTGAAACTACGCGGGCTAGCCTGAACAGAAGCAAAAAATGATGGTCCAGCACCATTTTCCCTCTGAGAATTGCCATTCTAGGGACCCCCCATGATTGTACAATAACATTTTTCATACTGATGGGCATATGTACCAGTTGATACCCTGTTAAATCTTGAGTTGTAATGATTCAAATTTCTTTCTTTGTTGGACACTTGCAGCAAATCCCCTGGAGGCTCGAGCAGATGAAAGAAGAGAAGAGATGCGGAAAGCGTCCGGAAGACTATTTGGGCTTGATCTTTGGATTTAGATAACAATCGAAAGTGCTGGTTTAAGCATAGAACATCGGGGAAAATTGGATTTAATGTTATGATATTTCACATATATATATATTTATATATTTATATATCTTGGTAAATTATAGCGAGGTCACTGCGACCGAACCAATAAGGGAAATCGTCCCCAAATGTCCAAACCATTCAGGTGAGTGAAATATTAGAATTTTCCCATATATATATACACATTAATATCCATCTGGATACCCAATGAAAATCACAGGCAAAATGGATATTAATAGGACATTATTGAGAATAGACAATATAAGTTGGATAATATGAATTTATATATATATATATACCACTAAAGAATATATCTTTGGATGAGTAGTTTTTATTTTGTTGTGAAATCTACAGTTCAAACCCTTGTTTTGGTTACACGGGACTCGGGGGCCCTGATAATTTGCACATTTTTATACTTTGTACACGCGTCTCATACATTGATGTTGTTTTACATGAAGATGTTGTTCACTGTGCTCGTGTGACATGGAGATGTTCGACCAGGTCCTCTATGGTTCATCTTCATTGAAGTGACATAGGTGTTGATACGCTGGGTGTTGGTTGGGGGGGTGGGGGGGTGATAACGTTCTTGATAGTACGCTCTTCATGGTTCATCTTCATTGAAGTGACATAGGTGTTGATACGGTGGGTGTTGGTCGGGGGGGTCGGGGGGGTGATAACGTTCTTGATAGTACGTCTTCATCATCTTCATTGAAGTGACATAGGTGTTGATACGGTGGGTGTTGGTCGGGGGGGTTCGGGGGGTGATAACGTTCTTGATAGTACGCTCTTCATGGTTCATCTTCATTGAAGTGACATAGGTGTTGATACGCTGGGTGTTGGTCGGGGGGGATCGGGGGGGTGATAACGTTCTTGATAGTACGCTCTTCATGGTTCATCTTCATTGAAGTGACATAGGTGTTGATACGCTGGGTGTTGGTCGGGGGGGTTCGGGGGGTGGGGGGTGATAACGTTCTTGATAGTACGCTCTTCATGGTTCATCTTCATTGAAGTGACATAGGTGTTGATACGGTGGGTGTTGGTCGGGGGGGTTCGGGGGGGTGATAACGTTCTTGATAGTACGCTCTTCATGGTTCATCTTCATTGAAGTGACATAGGTGTTGATACGGTGGGTGTTGGTCGGGGGGGATCGGGGGGTGATAACGTTCTTGATAGTACGCTCTTCATGGTTCATCTTCATTGAAGTGACATAGGTGTTGATACGCTGTGCACTTGTGGTGGTACGTGAGTTGATCTGTTTGCCTTTGGTTCATGTACATGAAGCGACATTGGTGTTGATAAGCTGTGGACGTGGTGCAAAGGCTCCTTTTGTGGCCGTGTAAAGACACGCATCAATGGCCTGTCCAACCCACAGTTGTTCAGCCAAGCATATCAATATGTTTGGAGAAAGAACAATGTCGACAAGGACTTGTTCCAGCTGCTGGCCACGGAATTGAAAAATTGAGGATAAATACAATTCTTCTCAAACAAAAATGTTTGGAAATGATGGGGCGCAGACGCAGAATCCCCTGCAAATACCATTGAAAGTGTGTTTTGCCGCCCGTCCTCCTCATGGCATCTCGTGGCCATTTTCACAGAGTAGCGATGTTCACAAAACACTGCAAGGGCTCAAGAATCCATTGCACGTTGCTGCTGAAAATGTTGATTTTGTCAGGTGCCTCGAGCCCCCGTGCTACTTTGTTTTCAAGCCCAAATTATCGGGTTTCAACCTCGAAAATACATTCTTTGAGTCGGTTTGAGCCGTACACCTCTCAATATATATATATAAATAGATATATATATATAAATATATATGTATATGTATACATATAAATATATACGTACATACATATATATATAACATACAGTGATCATTTCCCATGACCCAGGCTCTTCATGATGCAATCCTACCCGAAGGAGATCGCCACAGCCGTCCCTGGGGCGTCCGACGGAAGCGCCGCGGACCCTGGCGCCGAGGCGGCGCGGCACTGGTGCAGCCTGGCGGCGCTGCAGGAGGATGAGAGGGAGGCGACCCTGCGGTTGTATGATGCCATGGCTGAGAAGATGGAGACTTGGTTGGATTTTGGTCAGATTTTCATGGGATTTTATGGTATATATTGGCGATTTTCATGGGATTTTCTTGGTATTTTATAGTAGATATATGATATATATATAGATAGATAGTTAGTTGATGTTAGTTGGGGTTTTGGATCTTATTGGATGTTATATTGGATGTCATAACGGATGTTTTGATACATGTTCACGGGACTTTCAAAGGTGGAACCTCAGTTCTGTAGCTAAGTTGGCGCAATAACTCCAATAACTGGGGTTTATAGTAGAATATAACAGATATATCTATAGTTAGTTGGACTTATAAATCAGTTATCAACCTGGGGGGCACCACCTTGAATGAAATTTGGGATTTAATTGGTGTTGATGAGATTTTGAGGGATGTGAATGGGAATTTGTGGAAATTTAATGTTGTTTTTTTATGGGATGTAGTGGGGGGTTGATTCGATTTTGTGGGATTTACGGAATTTTACAAATATATAATATATTTTTTAGTTATTTATATAACTGGGATATGCTGGGAGTTTAAAAGATATTATTGTATATTATGGGATGTAAGGGGATATAATCGGTATAACAGTTCAATACAGGGGACAATTATGTACAATGGGAGTGTCACAACTGGACTATGCAATACGCGGATGATGTACCATTTTTCGTAGATAATATAGGTTTGTCAAAGAATAGGCCATACAAATAGCAATGTTGGGATGTCTTCACCATTCATGAGACACACTGATGCATCCATTTATCATTTTTTGTTGGTCTAAGTCACCATGTTGATTTGTTTTTGGCTCCAATTCTGGTGGTGAAATCTCATCGCAATCGAAAAATGTTCCTGGCGATTTCCAATACGTCCATCCTCCTTATCTATTATATCGTTGGGAAACTCAATTCATAGCTTCTTGGCTCCCAATTTCTTGGACGAATTTTTCACAACCATATCTCCATCCACAAATAGAGAACCATAACTTCTGCTGAAACTAGTTAGTGCCTAAATCGGGTGTGATCTGCTGAGAAAGTTGAAAGCGTCATCTTTCGGTTTGACATATCTGACCCAAAGGTGAATGTGGTAAACCCAACAATACACCACTGGAGGAAGGTTTATATATACCAACCATCACCCATTTATTGTGATTTTGGTGATGTTTTATTTTTGGGTTTACCCCATTATCCTGCTTTTCAAAGTATGTTCTTTCGACCTTGGTATCTCCCTTCATGATATCCATAATCTCCCAGGGTTTGTGTAAGGCGATTGCATTTTCCCAACGGAACATCAACAATAACTGGTGAATCGACCAGATGATTTGTTTTTTACTTTTTGGGACACCTTCATGAAGCAAATCGTTTTTGCTGGATATACCCTCTCGTAATCAAACATGGCACCTGAAATCCTGCAAAGCCTGGGTTTATAGCTTGGGAAATCCTTGAAGTAAATGGTGGATTTGTGGTTGCCACGTTTGATGACACCGGAGGGTGATCCATATTCATCCCATTTTTCTCACTAGTTTCATGGATATTCACCATGAAATATCCCCATGAAATCCCAGTTCAATCCCCATTCAAATCTATTCTGGTTGGTGGTTTCAAACATTTTTTATTTTCCATAATATATTGGATAATCCTTCCCATTGACTAACGTTTTTCAAGATGGTTAAAACCACCAACCACTATTGATTCCAGCAAGCCATGTTTCCCAATCATCTCCCAGGTGATGACTGGAAGGTTGGTGAACTTGGGCGCCGGCTCCTGGCGCGATCCGCTCTGGGAGCTGGTGGAGTTTCGCAACGTCACCAGGGCCGTGTTCGTTGATCCCGGGGGGCCGCCGGAAGGGGTTCCTCGGAGTCCAAGGGCCGTGCGCTTCTTGAACGAATCAGCAGAACCTCAGAATCTGAAGGCTTGGAAAGTGATGAGTTTGGGGAAATGACCATTATATATCATTGTATAGATATATTTATATTTACATATGGAGTTTTTTTTCATGGTATATATTATTCAATATTATTGATATATTTATATATATAATGGGTACTGGGATAATATATACATGGAATCGTGGTATATATATATATAATTATATATAGGACTGAAAGAGAAGGACTCGGATTTTGTTTGTTTTGTGATAGAAGTACTATTATCCTTGGTGAAATTTGTTTGGCGAGTTATTCAGGTCCGATACCCGCTGTTAGCCAGTTCACTCACTCTCCTTCGTTAAGCAAGTTTTTTTTTGCGGGAAAATCATAGCTGTTAAAACTCTTATCTTGGGTAGCGTGTCCTAAGCTCACTATCTTTACAGCCACCCCAGTATATTTAACGCATATATATATATATATACTCTCTCTCTCTCTCTGGTAATTTAACATAACATAACTATGATATTACCTATCATATCCCTATGACTTGTGGGTGCAAATCCATCAATTTTTGTGTCTATATAACCTAACCATAGTTGTAGGCGTTCTATTCCGACTTTGGAGGTCATAATTAAAACTAGCCCTGGCCTACGCTCCCAAGGTTAATGGTTATTGCCATTGTTATTCTCATAGTTATTACCCTAGTCATACCCATTAATTACCATAGTTATAGTATGGTTTACAATTATCCAGCAAAGTCACTCCAGTCCTGCAATTCTCCAGGCACTACTGCGAAAAGGGCAACTGCTACCGCGACAGCCCGGATTTTCACTTCCGGTGGAAGTGGATTTTCTCAAGGTGGACGTGGATGGATGTGATGCTTGACGAATTGAGTTTTCGATGGAAGATGGATTAATGATGATTAATGTGGATCTGTCTGAAAATGGGCTATTTTCCGGACATTACCATGTCAGTCCAGAAAATTATGATAAACTATCACTTTTTAGGTATCTGATTTTCAGAAGCCCATGTGAATGTAAAACCAGGCATTTATGGGAATATAATGGGGATATGGATGGGTAGAACTGATATGAGATTTGGGATTGTCAATAATATACATGTAATACTTTTTAAACATATATAAAGATATATTACCTGTGGATGCCTGGTTCACATGTATGCTGTTTTGTTTAACTGTTTTGGTGAATTTCGAGACAATTCTGAGGTTTAGATTTGACAGCTGAAATTGTTCAGGCACATGTGCATGTACATATATGATATATATATATATATATACATAGGTATGGGAAAAATGGGGCTCACAGCCTGGCAAAAAGTGATTTAAGATATAACAGCTTACTTTGGGTTGGTTGGTTGGGTCGAAGTCCAAAAGACAAATTGGGGGCTCCAACAGGCAGCAACGGCATCATATCATGGAATAGCAGGGACCCCAACATGGAGTCTGCAGGACCCTTGCCTCAGTAAAAGGCCCAAACAGCTTCATGTCACCTGCAGCTGTTTGATTCATTCCTTCCAGAATAACCGCGCTCGCCGAACTAGTTCCTGTGCAAACAAGGCCGTCGGCATCTTCAGTAGCCAGGATGGCTTGGATGAATGTCAAATATGGTTGAATCAAGCCCCTGCGGGAAATAAACAAAACAGGGCCTTCGCACATCTAGCAAGCCAGCACAGGCGTTCACAGTGCGAAGTTTCACATTCGAATACCTCTTCTGACATAAGATGCATTCCTGGACCCTGGCTTTGGACTTCTTGCCGTTTACGTGCCCAAATACAACATAATCCCGTCGGACTTGAATGACAGCTCTTTGGCTGAGCAGGACATTCCAAGGCAAATTGAGCCCCAGACGGTCTTTCAAATGGGTACTTGCTGTTTTCATTAAAGTTTGTTTCACATACTGCTTGTAGACCCCAGTCTCCGATATCCCTTTTGCTCACCCAAGTGCGCCAATCAAGGATATGTCTGCTGGCAAGAAATTGACGAGAGATCGATGCCCATGAGGGAACACC